AAATATTGCTAGTCTATCTAAGATTTTGAACTATTCAATTCTTTCACTGACTATTGTTTTATGGTGGAGAAAAGCAACATCACCAGCACTCTATGTTGAATTTTTCTTTGGTGAACTTTTTTTTTGTTTTGTGTTGATTTGTTTTGTATCAAAAATCTCCTTTTTTGTTTTATTTGATTTATTTTTGACGTTCCATTTTAGTAGATTGATATTGAGATTACTACGTGTTTTGATTCGGTCAATCTTTGTGGATTTGAATGGAGAAGTTGGAATTGGAAATAAAAATAAGCTTTTTTGTGTGGATTGAAATTTTTTTCAATTATGGAGAAACTAGATTATTGATGTTGTGAGGGTGAATTGAGAATATTTCGCCAAAAAAAAAAGGTGAATTGAGAATATTTTTTATTATTAATAAATATTTTTTATTTTTTATTATCTAACTGGTCCGACTAATAACCCAATGATTGAACCAGTAACTCATTGACCCGATCCTTTTACCAAGTTGATGTCCGGACCGAGTTTTAAAACACTGGCGACGATGATGGAGGTTAATAGTGATAGTGGTGGGGCTACGACGGTGGTGGGTGCTAGTGGGTAATGGGTGGTGGTGAGTTATGGTAGTGGGTGGTGGCAGTGGGCGACAGTGGTGGTGGGGCGACGACAGTGGTGGGTGGCGGTGGGCAACGGGTGATGGTGGGTGGTCTTGGCATATTTAGTGATCATGTTTACCGATCCTACTAAAATCAAAACCTTTTATCACATTACCCAAATATTGAATTCAAGAACCCAAACCCGAAATCGAATTAAAAATCAAATTTTTGGTAATTATCATCTACTCCCGCGCTGAATAAAAATATTTTCAATCAAACCTCAAACAATTTTTGTACATACAATTCAATTAAAATTCGAGCCAATTAATTTTTTTTAACATATTAAAATTTAAGTCAATTAAAATTTATTTTTGTACAAATATTTGAGAGATTGAGCTAATTAAATTTTAATTTTTTATGAATTTTAAGTCTATTAACATGAAATTGATTGTTAATTTGATTAATTGAATATTAATTGGATGAACTTGCATATTACTTTGATATTGATGTGATAAATTGAAACTTTAATGGATAATTTAGGATATTAATTTGATGAATTGAGTTTTAATTGGATGTATTTGAAGATAAATTAGCTGAATTGAATGATAATTTAGTGTTAATTTGCTGAATTGAGTTTTAATAGGATGAAATTAAATATTAATTTGATGAATTTAATGTTAACTAATTGAATTTCAATGTTAATTTAATGAATTGAATATTTATTGATGAATTAAATGTTAATTTAGTATTAATTTGATAAATTGAATGTTTATTAGATGAATTGAAAGTTAATTTGATGAATTGAATGCTAATTGAATGATATCTAATATTAATTTGATGAGTTCCATTTTAATTGGATGAATTTGGAGGTTAATGTGATGTCAATTTTTTGAATTGCATTAATTGAACACTTTACAGATAAAATTGAAAACATTAATATTTTAGAAGCAATGCTACATGAACTTAAAAAGTAAACTTAATAATTACATCAATTGATTTTATTGTAGGGCACAACATTTATTGGGACCCCTACCTATTCAATAGTTAGGATTATCAAGCTTAGTTTTTAAGTTTAATTTTTAAATTCATGTTTCATTACTCATATTTTAGATATCAATCCGACAAAATGTCCATCTTTAAGGGATAAAAGTGGCATTAACCAATTAGGAAGTCAATATCTTTGTCATGGTTGATCGTTGTTTGTCATTATCGATATTGATTTAGAAATAGGGTAATAACAGTTTTATCCCGAAAATATGGACGTTTTATTAATTGGGTCTTTAAAGTATGAATTTTGTCAATTTTATCTCTAAAGTATTTTAATTAACATGCAATTTACAAATTGATATTAACACATTTAATTCATCAAATTAACATTAAAATTCAACTTAATTAATATTAAATTCATTCAATTTATATTCAAAACCACTCAATTAACATTCAATTCATTCAATTAACATCCAATAAAAATTCAATTTATCAAATCAACAATAAACTAACATTCAATTTCATCCAATTTACATTTAATTTATCAAATTAACATTAAATTAATATTTAATTTATTAAATTAACATTCACTTCTATCTAATAAGCATTCAATTCATCAAATTAACATTCATATCCAATCAATTAACACTCAATTCAACAAATTAACATTTGAAATAATACAAATAAAGATTCAATTGATCAAATCAACACTAAAGTAACATGCAATTTCATCTAATTAATATTTAATCCATCAAATTAACATCAAACTAACATTCAATTTTATCGATTAAATATTCAAATTATTAAATTAACATTCAAATTCAACAAGTTATATTAAATTAATCAAATTAACTTTTAAATTCATTCAATTAATACTCAATTCATTGAATTAACTTTCTAAATCAAATAATAGAGATTCAATTTATCAAATTAACACCAAAGTAACAAACAATTTCATCTAATTAATATTCAATTCATCAAATTAATATCAACTTGACATTCAATTTTATCTAACAAGCATTTAATTCATTAAATTAACAATCAAATTCAACAAGTTAACATTAAATTAATCAAATTTATGTCAAATTAACATTTTTTTTAACGTAGAGAAAATATATTGAAATGAGCCAAGATTACAAGAAGCAAGGCTTTAACAAAAAAGGGAGAAGCCATTGTTGGCCTAAGTCCTACAAAAAAGACAAAAAACATCTTAAAAATTAGACTTGAAAGCCAGCTGAATGTCCAGCTGAAGATCCAAAAAACAACTCTAGCTGGAAAGTCCTCATTGAAGCCCAAAAACCAATGAACCAGCTAGAGGTGCAAAAGGACATGAGACTAGCTGAAAACCAGCTGAAAAACAGAAAAATCAGTTGGAAATCCAGCTAAGAACCAACTGCTATAAAACCGTGAAAAACCTTGTTGAGCAGCCCCTGGAGAAAGCAACAACAACCCAGCAGAGTGAGACCAGTCAATAGCAAAATGGCAGGAGCAACCCAGCTGGAATGCGTAGAAAACTAGCTGAACAGAACATGAACAGAGCAAAAACAATCCAGCTGAATGAGAACAGACAACATCAAAGGAAACCCAAGGGAAAACAACAACTCCTTAAATCTTGAAAACTTAATCTACTGAGCCAAGAAAAGAATCTTCCTCAAAAGAACCCAGTATTTCTGCCTAGAATCATGCTTGATCAGTTTCATTAGTGCCTGAATCCATATCTGTTAGTCTCCTTTGGAATTTTGAACACTAGCTTGGATTTGGATTTGGACCTAGTCATCATCCCCAAACTTTCTTCCCTAACTGGAACATGATACAATTCCAATGCCAAAGTAACTAGACTCTCCTCTTTTTGTTTCTTTTCTCCTCCGCAATATTGAGTCTTCTCAGCAATCTTTTGGACGTAGCCATAAAAGATTCATAATCAAATGTAGATGTTAAAACATCCTCCTCTCCATCAGAATAAAAACCTCTTGTGTCTTCATGAACAACCAGTTTTTTGACACAGTCATCTTTTGAAAAAATGCCCTTTGATTTCAATGCCTGATGTTTCTCATCCCTAGACATTTCTGGATTAAACTCCGCTTGACTGTGGACTTGCTGATGAACTTCCTCCATCATTTCCTTGGTAACAAACTTTGGCTTGTGTAAAGAATAATCAATGAAAGCTTCTTTCAAATAATGTTCAATACCATAATCAGTATCATCATCTGAACTGGAAAAAATCTCACCAACCTCACCATCCTCATTGTTCAAATTAAGCAAGTTGAAAGAGGGTTTTCTTATAGACTGGTTAGATGTAATCATTCCAGAATCATGAAACAAAGAATCCCCAAAATGCTTAATCGGAATATTCGTAACCTCTACTGTAAGATCAACATCTTCCGAGTTCATTAAAATTTGAATTGCCTTCTCCCCTACTTTGCCCAACTGTTGGCTTGGTAAGTCTTGAGATAATAGTTGCACATTGTTAACTAAATTTGACGGCTTAACCAACACTACTCCATCCTCATTTCCATTAGACTTTTCTCAGTGATTGCTTGATTATCCACTTCTGCTTCTCCTTCCTAGCCATACTCTTCTTATAATTTTTCTTATGCACTTTTAATTTTCTAGTTTTTTGTACCCTTATCTTTTTAGGACTCCTTTTCTGCTTCCTGTCTTGGGTCTGTATCAACCCTACACTCTCCATGTTGCATGTTGATTTTTCAGTACCAATTGATTCCAGATTAATATTGTCATCCACACCATGTTTATGATCCAAAACAACTTCATTAACCTTCTGCCCAACCTCTTCTTCTTCTGGTATATTCTCTAGAACAATTTGCTCCTTACCTTTCTTCTGTTCCATCCCTTTTCTTTTTACTCTATCCTTAGTCTTCCTCTTCTTCCTACATTCGCTTGCCAGATGACCTTGCTTAGAACAACATTTACAATATTTTATCTCTTTCTCATAAACTATCCTTTGCCATCGATCCTTCAATCCACCCATATTAAGCTTAACGCGATCCGGGTTTTCCTTTAGCAGATTTAACAATACACATACTCTTGCTACACTTGGTCTTGAGAAATTCAGTGTTGGACCATCAATTACCAACACCTTCCCAATGGGACTCAATAGTATTTCCAAATACTGTCTAGGAAACAAATGCAATGGCAATGAAGGAAGAAATATCCACATGGGCATAATAGTTGGTTCAATTCCAGACTCAAATTCTGGAAACCATTTGAAAAATCGAAATAGATGATCATTAATGTAAGCTTTGTCCTTCAGTAAAACCTTTATAAGATCTTCATAAAGACTAAACTTTAACAGTACATGTCTAGTATCCAAGTTTCCCACAAAAAACTCACCTTTAAGAAACCATTTAAATTTTATAAAATCTCTAATATAGCTTAAAGAAGGGCGTCCATATGAACACTTACCAATGATAGCAAATTCTAGTGGCTTGAAAGCTTCCATCATCTCTTCTCTTGTCCAAGCCATTGTCGTTTCCCCATTGTGAGAGATCACCCTTTTAGTTGGCTTTGCTACAACAGTCTTAGAAGACTGTGTATCTGGAATGCCACGACCATGAAGGGGCTTTTTGAAGAAAGACACATAAGAAGGGGCACGGGCCTCAGAGGTCAAGATCTGAGCAGCTTCAAATAAAGAAGAAGCAGCTATATGATGATTAGGTGTAGGGATATGTAGATGTGATGAAGAAGCAATCGGAATGGATGGATCTGGTAGCTTTGGGGGGATAGATCTGATCATGGACAAACCCTCTGCTCTCATCTACTCTCACGCAATCAGATCAATCTAATTAACATTGAATTCATCTAATTTATATTCAAATTCATCCAATTAACACTCAATTAATCAAATTAACATCCAAAATTATTTAAAAAATATTCAATTTATCAAATCAACTCCAAAGTAACATGTAATTTCATCCAATTAAATTTAATTTATTAAATTAACACCAAATTAATATTGAATTCATCAAATCAATATTCAATTTATCAAATTACCACAAAATTAATATTCAATTTTATCTAATTAATATTCAATTTTTTCTAATAAGCATTTAATTCAGTAAATTAACATTCAAATTCAACTAGTTAACTTTAAATTAATCAAATAAACTTTCAATTTCCTACAATTAACACTCGATTCATTGAATTAACTTTCCAAATCAAAGAATAAAGATTCAATTTATCATATTAACACCAAAGTAACATACAATTTCATCCAATTAATCAATTTAACTTACAATTCCATCTAATTGATATTCAATTCATCAAATTAATACCAAATTAACATTCAATTTTATTTAATAAGCATTTAATTCATTAAATTAACATTCATATTCAAGTAGTTAACATTAAATTAATCAAATTAACTCTAAATGAACATTCAATTCATCTAATTTATATTCAAAGTCATCCAATTAACACTCAATTAAGCAAATTAACATCCAAAATTATTTAATTCAATCAAATTAAACATCAAATTAACATTAAATTCATCAAATTAATATTAAATTCATCAAATTAACACCAAGTTATATCTAATTAAAATTCAATTTTTTTCTAATAAGTATTTAATTCATTAAATTAACATTCAAATTCAAATAGTTAATATTAAATTAATAAAATAAAGTTTCAATTTCGTTCAATTAACACTCAATTCATTGAATTAACTTTCCAAATCAAACAACAAAGATTCAATTTTTCAAATTAACCCCAAAGTAACATTCAGTTTCATCTAATTAATATTCAATTAATCAATTTAACACCAAATTAACATTTAATTTTCATCTAATTAACATTCAATTTTATGTGATGCATTTTCCCTGGAAATTCAAGCATTTAACGGCTCTTTTTAGCAGTTTGAAATTTCAAATATCTCATGTTTATCGTGAAGCCAATTCTGCAGCAGATTTTTAGTTAACAAAGTAGTCTATGACAGAGAGGATACTAGATTATCTCTACAGCTCAATTACCTACACATGCGCGACTACTTCTTTAGCAAGATCAAAGACAGGTGAGAGTTTTAAGGAGAAAGATCTCTCATTGCAGTTGAACTGTTGGTAGTTCACACTGCAAGGGAGTCTTTCAAATTTGTCTACAGGTTGCAGATTCTATTCAAAGATATCATCTCCAGCTCAACATGCAGATTTTTCAGCTGGTTTGTGTCTGCTGGAGTCTTCCTCTACTTCAGCTGGGCTCTTTTAATAACTTCATATTACTATTCAGCTGGACTCTTCATTCTGCTGGTTTTCGAATTCTCCTTCAGCTGGACACTTACAGTTCGGTTCTTTTTTGGACTGTCAGCTGGAAACTGCTTTGCTGGTTTTAAGGTTGTTACTGGGAGTCTTATTGCTGCATAAGCTCTTTTAATTCAGCTGGACTCCTATTTAAGTGGCCTATCTTTTATCTGCTTATCATTTAGGAATTTAAAAAGTTGCATGTTTAGGATAATTAACTTTTAATTTATTTTTTGTACTAAACATGCATTTTTGCTTTTCTTTACTTATTTTATGTAATTAGATTGCATTAAGGGATACGTCCCCCCTCGCTAGATGTAGTTTGATTTTTTAACTTAATAAAATTTTCCCGCACCGTCGAGGTTCACAAAAAAAAAAAAAATCAATTATATGTAATAAACATGTATTTCATTAATTAAAAATTCAAATTTAACTAGTTAGCATTACATTAATCAAATTAAATTTCAGTTTCATTCAATTAATGTTCAATTCATCAAATTAACGCCAACATTCAATTTTATGTAATAAACATTTATTTCATTAAATTAACATTCAAATTCAACTAGTTAACATTACATTAATCAAATTAACTTTCAATTTCATTCAATTAATGCTCAATTCTTTAAATTATTGCAAAAATTGCATTCAATTCATCTAATTTAAATTCAAAGTCATCCAATTAACATTCAAGTAATCAAATTAACATAAAAAATTATTTAATAAATATTCAATTTATTAAATCAACACCAAAATAACATGCAATTTCATCCAATTAAAATTTAATTTATCAAATTAAAATTTAATTCATCAAATTAATATTCAATTCAACAAATTAACACCAAATAAACATTTAATTTTATCTAATTAGCATTCATTTTTTTTAATAAGTATTTAATTCCTTAAATTAACATTAAAATTCAACTAGTTAACATTAAATTAATCAAGTAAACTTTCAATTTCATTGAATTAACACTCAATTTAATGAATTAACATTTCAAATCAAACATTAAAGAATCAATTTATCAAATTAATACCAAAGTAACATACAATTACATCTAATTAATATTCAATTCATCAATTTAACACCAAATTAACATTCAATTTTTATCTAATTAACATTCAATTTTATCTAATAAGCATTTAATTCATTAAATGAACATTTAAATTCAACTAGATAACATTAAATTTATCAAATTAACTTTTAATTTCATTCAATTGAAACTCAATTCATCAAATTAATGTCAAATTAACATTCAATTCATCTAATTTATATTCAAATTCATCTAATTAACACTCAATTAATCAGATTAACTTTCAAAATTATTTAATAAATATTCAATTTATAAAATCAACACCAAAGTAATATGAAATTTCATCCAATTAATATTTAATTCATCAAATTAACATTAAATTAATCAAATACACTAACTTAACATTCAATGCATCAAATTGATATTCAAATTCATCCAATTAACACTATAATAAAAAATTTTACTTCAAAAATCATCCAATCAAGCAAATCAACACCAAATTAATATATAATTTCATCCAATTAATTTTTAATTCATCAAATTAACACTAAATTAATATTAAATTAATTAAATTAACATTAAATTTTGTCTATTAAACATTGAATTCATGAATTTAACATTCAAATTCAACTAGTTAATATCAAATTAATCCAATTAACATTCAATTTACCCAAATTAATAATCAAATTCAACTAGCTAGCATTACAATAACATTGAAATTCCACGATAAATTGAATCTTTATTGAATAATTTTGGATGTTAATTTGATTAATTGAGCATTAATTGGATGAATTTGGAATAAATTGGATGAATTGAATGGTAATCTAGTGATAATTTTATGAATTAAACATTAATTGGATGAAATTAAAAGTTAATTTGATAAATTTAAATTTAACTAATTAAATTTAAATGTTAATTTTATTGAAATTTAATGTTAATTTGATAAATTGAATTTTAATTTTGTGTTAATTTGATTAATTAAATATTAACTGTATGAAATTGCATGTTACTTTGTTATTGATTTGATAAATAAATCTTCATTGAATGATGTTTGAAGTAAATTTGTTTTATTTAGTGTTAATTGGATGAATTTGAATATCAATTGGATGAATTTGAATACCAGTTGGACGCATTGAATGTTAATTTAGTGTTAATTATTATAAATTTAATATTATTTAGATGAATTGAATGTTTATTTAGTGTTAATTCGATGAATTGAATATTCATTGGATTAAGTTGAATTTTAATTTGTTGAATTTAATATTAATTTTGTATTGATTTGATGAATTAAATGTTTATTGGATAAAGTTGCATGTTGGTTTGGTATTGATTTGGTAAATTAAATATTTATTTGATCTTCTAAATAAAAATTGAATATTTTAGGAAAAAATTAAAAAAATTGATACTTTAGAAATTAAACTGACAACACATGCAGAGGATAAAAGTGTTTTTATTGGATCGGTCATGATTTTTCATGACCGATCCTGATTTGGATAAAAAATCAATAATCGGTAATACGATCGGAAATGTTTGTGATGGATCGGTCCTGATTTTAGGATCGGTAAGCATAAGTCAGTGAGTCATAAATCATGATCGGTCATCATTTACTGTAAAGGACAAATTTTAGTTACACCCCTCCTAATTTATCATATCTTCAAAGACACCCTTCTATTTTTTTGATCATCACTAACATCCCATGTCTATTAATGACATTAACTAGAATACAATATTACTAAATTGTCCATGATATATTGTAGGGAAAAACTTTATTTACACCCCTCTAGATAGACATATCTTTAATAATACTCCGTCTATTTTCTAAATTTGTTTACATATTAAATTTGGGTTGATAGAAAATTGATTCAGCCTAGTTATAATTTATTTTTTATATATTAAAATTTGAGTTAATTAAAAATTATATTTTTATACATATTAAAATTCGATATGATTTGATTAAAATTTTAAATTGACTCGAATTAAATTTTAATCAAATGACATTGAATTTTAATCTGCTTGAATTTTGATATAAAAAATATAATTTTAATCGATTGAAATTTTAATATGTAAAAAAAAATTTAATCAGTTAGAATCAAATTTAAATTGGCAAGAGTTTCAATAAGAAAAAATATAAATTTTAATCGGTTCGAATCAAATTTTAATCGATGCTAGCAGCTCAGGTTGAACTTAAATCGGCTTAAATTTTAATTAACACGAATTTTAATATATAGAAAAATAAATTTTAATTAGCTATAATCTTATTTAAAATAATTGTTTGAGATTTATGTAGGGACAATTTTGGTATTTTTGATATTTCTTGTTTGTTAGAAATGGTGATTTAATGATATGTTGTTAATGATGTTTAAATATAAACTAGAAGCGGGTGTGAACGATATTTTGGATAATAAAGGAGGTATCCTTGAAGATATGTTAAATTAGAAGAAATTAGAAGGGATGTGGCTGAAATTTTTCCAAAAATAAATCACCACAATCGGTCC